GTCAACATGTTTCGTTAGTATACATTTTATTTAGGGACAGGACCGGACCCACTTCGAAATTGAAAAGTCCTCAACAAGGAATCCTCCAGCTCGGCCAGTGATCAGCAAAATCTCTCTCTGGTAAAAGAGGCAAATGGAAAAGGAAAGTCTTGAGACAGAGATAGAAAGGAAACAAGTTTAAGAGAGAAATTATTTGTATTTCACGAGAATAATAGTAAGATGTCACGATCACCATGGGGAAATATCCCAATGGGTTTTTCAAGGTCAAAACCAAGCCCATAAAAATTGTGACCAACGTGGCATTAAGTAGGACCTGACCTTTAAGGTTGACCCATTTTGTGCAGCTAGGTTGACTCTACACTAACAGGGCCTGATTTGAGTCAACATAACAAACGCAACATTGTCATCCACTATGAGATAATGCATAGATATCAAGGCAAAGAAAATTACATCCTGGAGAATCACCTGAAAAATGAACTTTTTCTCCATTTTCTGAAAGTAAAATAATTTGACTAAAACAACAACATCACATTAGATGGAGCCCCTAATTATACATAATTTCTATGTCATATTTGTATTTTTTGCGCTCTACTTTGACATGTTTACATACCTTTGAAGTTTAAATGTTCAAAAAGGCTTTATTTTCCTACATACCGTCCTGTGCCTGCAGTACCTTTTTTTTTAGCCATCCCGTCTGAAATTGGTTAAACTGACCAGCTCTGTTTGTGATTGGTTCAACCACTACAGTGAAAATAGTCCCACCCTTAGCCCTAGCAAACGTACACTGTAAGAGCACCAGCCTAATAAGAGTGTGCAGTGGAACGAACCGTAATTTACTTCGGAAAGTAAGCTGGCGCATGGGTTCCTCACAAAGAAGCAATGGCATTGTCTCCATCAGCGAATTGGAAAAATAGGCTCGAAAATAAGGTCTGTGGAAAACCAACCTGGATAATGCAACGGTTTTGTTCAGCTGGATAATATGCCAACATTTACCCTACTTTTTAATCATTTTCTAATCAATAAATCTATCGCCAGAAGCAACATGGTAACGTTATGCCTATAATATCTAACCTACAGCAGGTCCCGCAGGACTTCAGATGTCACGCCACTTAAGACGATATTCAAAAATAAGATTCAACCATTGTAAAGTTGAAGCTTTGTTTAACTGTTGCAAGAGTGCAGGTACTGCGATCCAAGCAGAACAGGGGCAAAAAACTTTAGGGGATTGTTTACATGTTCGGTGTAATGACCGTACACGTCCCTCACACAACTTTCTGTAAGTGCCCTATTCATCCCACTATTAACAAACCATCAAAGTTTTTCAGACACGTAAACTCTTCAAGAATCATCAGTGGGGGTCACTGCTGATGTATTTACGAGCGTCGGTAGAACAAAACATGATCTCGTCTCTTAAATTTGTGTCAACCACAGACCTTATTTCGAGCTATTTTCCAAAATCTTATGGAGAAATCCCATTGACTCTGAGACGAGGGAACATGTAGTGGTAAATTGCTGACTCACTTCCGGGTGTTAGGATTCGTCACTGCACCACTCTAAATGAAGCGCAAGTGTTACATAGTGATGTCATTATATTATGGAAATAAACAAAGGAGTCCAAGAAAGGCGTTTCAGGCAGGTTGGGAGTGTGTGGGAGAGAAACTCCTTCTGGAGGGAACTTTGGGATTTTAGTCTGTCCCGACAATTTACATGCACAAAAACCTATAGAACACACTACAGGAAAGGGATAATTCTTAAAAGCATAATAGGGCCCCTTTAATCAATAATGAAAGTTAGTGTTTCGGCCCTAAACATTATTATTACAATGCTTTGCAGGCTTGTAATATTACGTATGCATTACATTTACCATCTTCCATAGGTTTAAGTACATACAGGGGCACAGTCGTGCATGAACACAGTGAACCACCTCCCACGAGTCCCAAAAGCAAGAGGAGGAAAAACACACACCACACACACACCGCCAACCCTGGACTGACAGCTGGTCATGGCCGAGCAAATGTATCTAAGCTCCCAAGGCTGACAAAATGATCACGCTGATATGATCACCTCAGACATAAAAATTGCCAGGGGAGACGAGCAGGGGATGTGAGCGCCATGTGCAGCCAGGCACGTGACATAATAGTCAGCAAAAGAGTGACGCTTTCGCCAGGCAGGATACAGTGCGATGAGGAAACATTGTTTTTACTTCATCAGCCACACGTTCAAGTGCAGACAGCTTGAAGATATCTGATCTCTTAGGTAGAAAACTACTGAAAACAACTGTAGTTCAGTTAGAAATACACAGACTGCTACTAGACCCCACCGTTGTTTAAACGGTGGAGTCTAGGAATCCTCATCATGAGCTCCTAAGGAATTGTCCTTGAGCAAGACACTGAACCTCTTCCCTGTTACTTATTGTAACTCGCTCTGCAAGATGCAGATGACAGCGGCATTTGCTAGACGCTCAGAGCATTTTGTGGTATTTATACTCGAGCTGCAGAACAGAGCCACCCTCAGTCACTCTCTCAGCCTTTTGACTGCATAACAGGAAAACATTTGGCACCGCCTGTGGTGCGAAAAGAGGCAGTAGCTGATAGACAGAAAAGAGAACTTTGAATCAACAGCCTCTCAAACAAGGGGAATGGAGCAGAGAAATGGAGAGAGCTGATAAGGGAAGGAGTGAGACAGAGTGACCCGGAGCAATTCCCTTCAGTGTCTGAGAGAGACAGAACGAGGGGGCAGGGTAGAGGTTGGTACAGAAGGAGAATTAAGTGGAGCAAGGGGAATGAGAAGAGACAGCAAACAGATAGCAGGGAGAAACCAAATTCCCATTTTGGCTTAAAACTTCACACAAGGTGGTGTGCTGTGCAAGGCATTCCATCTCATCGGAAAGCTACATATACAACCTGATACACTATATTCTGCTATCGCTCACGATTTGGTTAATTCAGGGCTGATTCAGACACGATATCTCTGTCATTTAATATGCACATTCAGTATCAAGAACGGGAAAAGAAAGCGTGCATCATTATCTGTGGAGTTTAGTGAATGCAACTTGCAAAAGGGTTGCATTTTCACTTAGAATATCTCGCACATAATTTTGATTAAAAAAATGGATGTTTTGGTAAATTCTTTGTCAATTGAGTCCGAATATTTTTGTCCATTCACCTGTCTTTCACATTATCATTTTGTATGCATATACACAACATTTCATACATGCCATCACAGTTCTTATTTTAGAAGTTTTACAGTTTTTACAGTTTTAGTTTTGTTCTCATAGTTAATTAAAATATTGCAATATACATAAACAGATTTTTTTTTACCAATTGATAAAAAAGTACCTTTTGTGGCCGAAATATTACCATACAAGCAACGTTACATGTTATTGCAACCAAACCCATCTTTTTTCCTTTTACTCGGTACTTGCTCATTTCAAGGTTGTGGACAATGACTAGAGGAGCCTGCTTTGGCTGTTTAAAATATTAATAAAGATTTATTTTTTAATATGGTTGAATGTGCATGCGGTTGAATGCATACCACTCACAAGAAACACATTCTTAGCAAAAAACCCTTTTTAAATTAGAGGAAAAAAACTTCCTACCATGATGTTTTAGAGTCACTTTGAGTCTTGATACTGCACATACATGGAGACCAATATACCCTTATATTAAAATCTCCCAGTTTCCTTTTGGGTGTGTTACAATCTGAATCTAAAGTACACAGTTTGTTCAGACTCAGATAGATTACCTCCCGTTGCATCAGATCCCTTGTAAAGCAGTCAGCTTGTTAAGGCTTTACCCAGGCCAACAGTGCACTCCGTCAGCTGAATCCTATCTACCATCTTTACAGGAAGCAGCTCTGTCTCAAGATCCTCATCAAGACAAAACACAGGAGCCAAACTAGTCAAACACCGCAGGGATGGATGCCTCTTCAAGGGCCCGCTCCCTCCTTCAGACGGGGACTGATTGAGTGTGTGTGTGCATGCGTGTGTGTGTGTGTGTGTGTGTGTGTGTGTGTGTGTGTGTGTGTGTGTGTGTGTGTGTGTGTGTGTGTGTGTGTGTGTGTGTGTGGCTGATTGAGTCGAGGTAAAGGGTATAGTATTGATTAGAACGTACATCCTGACGGCCTGGGGGATGGGGCTGATCCTCTGCGGGGAAATGATGATGCATTAGTGTTTGTGTGCGCGTGTACATGTGCGTGTGTAGAAGACCCTTCAGTGTGTTGATGATGGATACAGAGACAGGGGTGACCCAACGTCCAAGCAAACCCGCTGCGTCCTCCTCAATCTAAAGCACTCCATGGACGACGCATTGGTGTGATCCCCTTGTCCCTGTACCATCTGTTCCCTTTATGCTCCTGCTGGTAAAAACACTGAGAAGGAACTGCAAATAAACAACAGCTTCACTTCTTTCCTTTTCTTGGCAGTCGTCTAATGTGATGCTTGGAATAGTGGACATTGTTAAGAGAAGTATTATGACTAAATCATAAAGCAAGAGACAAGGAAGCAACTTCGCGATCTGGGCTGAAGCCCTGCTCTTGGGTACCCACAATGCAACAGGACAGGTACCTCTGGGGGAGCCAAGATGTTTCACAATGGTTAACCCCATCAGTCATAACGCCTATGAGGCATATAATGCATTGTACAGTATGTGAGCATACACGCCAACACGTGTCTGCTCACACACAGTAACCTGATGTCAAAGACAGTGAGCATCACATGACAGCATGTGGGCGGTATTACAGCCTGTCCTCCTACAAAAAACGACCATATAGACTGATCGTTCATGCCCTTATTACGACCAGAGACACGTTTTAAAGTGTATGTTGTTTCTTACACGACCACTAGAGGTGTGTAAGAAACAACATGCTCCCGGCCCGTTCATTGCAAACGCTCCGAAGGGATGTTTATTCAGAAATAACCCTCTCTGGACCAGAGAGGGTTATTTCTGAATAAACATCCCTTCGGAGCGTTTGCAATGAACGGGCCGGGAGCATGTTGTTTCTTACACACCTCTAGTGGTCGTGTAAGNCTTCTCGCCAGAAATCGAATACAAAAAGCATTTTAATGGCCAAACTATTCCACAATTTAGGATTTTCCAGAGAGGGTTATTTGTGAATAAACGTCCCTCCGGAGCGTTTGCAATCAACGGGAGCATGTTGTTTCTTACACGACCACTAGAGCACCTCTAGTGGTCGTGTAAGAAACAACATACACTTTAAAACGTGTCTCTGGGTCGTAATAAGGGCTTGAACAATCGACCTATATGGTCGTTTTTTGTAGGAGGACAGGCTGTTTAGTATACCTCAACAATGGAATTATGATCAGTAGAAATGGNTCTCTGGAAAATCCTAAATTGTGGAATAGTTTGGCCATTAAAATGCTTTTTGATTCGATTTCTGGCGAGAAGTGTATATTGTACTCTTAGAATCCACGTCCAGTCGATGTGTAGGATCTATAGTTTGATAGATATTACGAAGATGATTTGAGGTCTCGCCAGGATAACGTGTATTCAGCTTCCATGTAAAGTTAGCGTGGGTGAAAACAGTTTTAACGGTCTCGAAGTTTTCATAATAAAACCAGATATATTCCCCTCACTGTCAAATTATTACACAGTGATATCTGCATTACTCATCCACTAAAAAACATCAGTTTATCCTTGTTAATTACACAATATTGATTGGTTTAAATTGTGTACAATGCTTTTGTGTTTTTAACCTTCGATTCAGAGAAACAAATAGTTTTTTCGGNGCAGCCCCCTCCTGGTACCTCCTAATGGCTGGGAAGCGCGGCCAGATCGGGTCACTCCTGCCCGTCTGAACCCGGGAAAAAACTCCGGCCATGTCATCCAGAGCCACCCTTTCCCGTACTGGGGGAACGAGGAGACCTCTGCAGGCTGCCGCCTTGCCGATGATCTCCGGCAGCTCCAGCATGATGCCCCCCAACGCCGGCAGCGCCGTGGCAACGGAGAAGGGGACCGCATGCTCGGCCGCCACACCCGTACCTCGCTCCGACTCCGAGGAGGGAGGGGAGAGCCGCATGGCGAGCCATGGAGGGAGACGGGGTAGGAGTCGTCCGACTCCTGCTCAGCACTCGGCTCCAGAGACAGGCTGTCGTCCCTGTGCTCCTGGACGGGCCAATCGTCCTCCTCAGCCGCAGCAGCTAGAGCGTCCGCTCTTCGCTGCCTGTCNGGGCGGAGTTGTCGGGTTCAGGAGTTCCTCAAAGTGCTCCTTCCAACGCCCTAACACTCCATCAGTTGAGGTCAACAACGTCCCATCCTTGCTGTACACAGCTTGGATGGTTCCCTGCTTCCCCCTCCTGAGGTGTCGGACAGTTTTCCAGAACAACTTTGGTGCCGCCCGAAAGTGGAATAAGACCCAACAAGTTAATGCATTTTGAAACAGTTCTATGATCTTTCAGCTACAGTAAATTATGCAAGATAAGGACTTTAACACTTCTGGTGGTGCACAACATAAACACCTGAACTGTTGAAGCAACATCCACAATATTCATCTGGCTGCTACTTAAAAATTATTTATCTATTTACCTATTATATCATATTTCAATTACTTGCATATACATGTATAGACTCTTATTGCACTATTTCACTTTCACTTTTTTAAACTATTTTTCTTCTTGTATAACTATTTACTTGCACTATATTTTTCTGTTTATCTGTGTTTTGTGTTGCACTGTTGGAGAAGCCTGTGACACAAGATTTTCATTGACATAACTACACTGTAGCTGTGTTGGTTTGACAAATAAAGAACCTTGAACCATGTTAGCATTTTTTCACTCAGGGCTAATTCAGAGGCTCGGCGTTAGACTTGTGTTTCGTATGGCTAATGGCTAATGGTTCATATCGTCAGTTAGCTGAGTTTCTTCCCGTTAAGTGGATATGACATATTCATAGTTTGTTAAATGTTAAGAAGCCCTCAGACGCTGTTTCTTGCAATATGTTGCGTTTTGCCCCGCGGGCGGGGGCATTGGGCTTAACAGGTTAACAAATGCCCGCTTTCTATAGGGTTGGGCGATGACTGAGGGTCTTTTAATGGAGGGATAGCCTCTAACGCCATAAAAAGAAATATACTTCAGTGGGAAACTAATAATTAAAGAATTTCTAATAATTGATTGATATTCATGTAGAAACAACTTAATTTAGCCTCACTTGAAGGATGAAAAAGAGCCTCTGCTCCAGGAATATAGTATCTTGGAAGGAGCCAGGATACCCACAAAGGTGTTGATGAAGGCCCTTCCCATCAATTATTGCCTATGATGGAAAGAGCTTTCTGCCAAGGTAATCCTGGCACTTGGGTCCTTTTGGGAGTCTTTATGCAGACATGGCAGCCATCAATGTCATCCACATACCTGAAGAACAGGAGGCCGTGCAATGCTTTTGCCAACCTCATCCAGTGCTCCAGCGGTTGGCCGTGGGATGACGTCCTGGCAAAGGGATTCCATTTTATTGGCTCTAGTTAGCACCAATCAGCAGATTGTAGGCACCATTCTGAAACCATTTTGTAAGATATGTTTTTTGGCAACCAGTAGACTGAGATCAGCAAACATACCTCATGTAACCAGCCGTGTTCTTTGATGGCATAATCTTCAAGAGGGGCTCCATGGACTGTCACCCCAGCCTTCAGTCAGCATTCTGGTCCTTCTGACCATCCAATAACAGACTGGCACATCAACATTTAGCATTGCATTGGCTTTTCAGTGTCCAAAGCCATCTACCAAATAAAGGAATTATATGTTGAATTAACCAGTAGTAGTTGCGGGGAACCTGAAGTTGATGCTGTAAGATTTATTTCGGTAAAGTTTTAACGTGATAGGGGTGTGACGAATCAGGGAAGGACACATCATGACTAAAAGGACCCTATCAAAAAGCTATCATGGGTGTCTGCGTCATCGTCTTCAAAGGTAACCGTTTCTTCCTAGCCAGACTAAAGGGCAAACCTTTAGTTAAAAAGGTTCCAAAACACCTGAATATTTTTCCATCGAAAAAGGTATTAATGTGGATGTAGCCACAGTTTGTGTTTATGTCTTCGTCATGTCAACCTTTGGCAGGTGCATATCACAGCCTTATCATGGAACACTTGGCCCTTGTGGAGGTTATATTTACTCTGTGCTGCCGTAAGCACCTTTCCTGACACATTATACGAATTAGGGTCTTATTATGGGCTCTGCCAGGAGCTGCATGTACCGGTGATTAGTAATAAGGGCAGCGATAAGGTGAGTCAGCAGCAACTGGCCTGATTACAGCAGCTGGACCTTAGGAGGCAAATCCTTCCCATCCCCGGTAAACAAAGACAACTGGATAGGAAACACACTGATTTAGTTTGTATTGTGGGTTTGAACAGAACAGTAAGGTAACATTTCAAGAAGGATTAGGGTTAGGGTTAGGTTAGTAATCAAAGGAATGTAATATGTTTAGTGTAAGATGTTTTGAGAAGAGAAAACACAGAAGAGCCAGTTTGGTTCATAGGAATAGATCAATATTTTATATTGTTTTGTAGCAAAATGTTTTCACACAGAAACATGTTTTTTTCTTGTTTTTGTCCTCGAACCTCAGGTGAGAGTCATGACTATGTCAAGTCAAGTAAACGCTTAAATTGTATTGTCAGTTAACATAGTGGCAGAGGATGTTACATGATGTCACAGGTAAAGAGAGCAGGTTAAAAGGTCAGTTTCCCCAAATAAAAGAAAAAGGAATCTTCATATTCATCTTTATAGGTTTACATTCATGCAGAAATGTTCCTTTCATTTACTCAAGTTGAGATTTGTTTTAATTATTCTCTTTCAGGATTTAGTCAAAATAAACTAAAGTTCCTGTGATTTTGGTCAAAAATAACATTTCCCCTGTTTGTGTCAAAGCAAACAAGCTCTGTGTCAGAGGACAACACATATTTCAAAAGGATTGATTCATTGTTGTATCGGTCTCTTTAAGATAAATGGGAGAAATAATGCCAAACTTTTGTAATGCACTAAAGAAAATACAACAAATAGTGCTATAAGCTCACACAGAGTTTATACCCCCATATGTATTAAATAGATAGCTTCTGTGCTATACGTGTTATGGTTACAACTCTGAAAACTGTCTGTTGGTATATAATGTTATTTTGCACACTAACTGTGTTATTGTGGAGGTAGACATTTCATAGTGGGATAATAAATCCTTGGCAAATAAACCAAGACATTTGAATTGATCTTTTACATTTTAGCCGACCCTTTAAATCAGCCAGTAGTTTACATGTGACATCATGTAAAATCCTATTTCAGTGAGCCAACTAACAATGACCAAGTTGGTACACCACAGTAAAGCACCTTCTCACTGTTTGCTTCACATGAAAATAAAAGTACTACTGCACAATTCCCACCCCCCCTTTACATTCTCACCCAGTTTTTGTACAAAAAAAATTTCAATATACAGAACAGTACACCGAGGATGAAAATAATACAAAAATTATGACCACCCGACATTTTTTAAATGCAGCAGAAAACCACAATATATCGAGAAAGGCATCAAAATGTTTAGGGATGTCTTGGCAGTAATCCCAATAGCCACTAATTCAAAGAATCATACTGCAATGTACAGCTCTGAATGAAAGACGGTAAAAGATGAATGGTTCTTTTGATGAATCAACTCACATAATACAAAAACCAACTGTGGTTCTGTATCACGCAATCTTGTGAGATATATTTCAAGCTAGTTTCCAGCTGTTTGGCCCTTTTTAAAAAGTTATCTTTTTCCCATTTTCTCCACTTAACATCCTCCCTTGAGCAGCATAATGACCTTCATCAAACTAATAAAAGTCAATTTGGACTCATTCCGCCATTTAACCTGGCTAAATGAATAAGTGGCGTACTCCCTTGTTATTGTTAACTAAAGAGAATTAGAGCCGTATACATCCTGCTGTGAGGATAAGCAAATTATTGTGTGGCCTTGATGGATTTCAAAGACTATTCCCATCTGGTGATACTAATATGTGCTGTAAGCATCTGAGACAGTATCATGAGGATAATACTGGGCTTACATCAATGTCATTTGAGCCTAAAGATGAAACTGTCGTCAATATTAGCCATTCAAAGCTCTCAAAAAGACATTTTGGAAATAAACCTGAGCTGGAAACAAACTCAATTTCATTGGGTAAAAAACTATTCTTTGAAGCGTTTGCAAACAAGTGAAGAAGTTTGTGTTTTGAGCTGCTTGTAATCCTCTTGTGCATTTGGATTGTTTGTTGTTTTTCCATTTGCTTTCATATTTAAATAACCACATATGATTCATAACCTGAGGTAGAAATCCAGGCTGGGTTATACTGGCTAATTTTGCCTCAGTGTTTCTAATATCTAAGGCCTAAAGACCTTACTGTAAAAAAGGTTTCTTTTTGTAACAGATTGAAATGTGTAATTTTGAGTGATGTGAAGGGATAGCTGTGTATGTGTATAATCTCATTAAAAGAGCTGTGCCTGCTGAGGAATTACCTCAAATAATAAATAGTAAAAATGGTAGAAAAACCAAGATGAAAATAAAAATGACTTTGTTTTAATGTTCGATTCGCTCTTCCAGTCTTTCTCGCTACTGTCGCAGCAGTCCCATTTTCTGTTGCAGTAGTTCCATTTCATGCTGAGGGTCCAAGACATTGTGACACACATTCAGTTCACCACAGCCGAGGCAAATCCTCTTGGCATTCAGTTTTTCGACAAAGACTTAGTAAATCCACTCATAATTGATCATCGTTTTCCCCCCTCTTTCTCTATGAGACACTTTAATATGCCTTGTGGTTGGGAAATTATTCCCACTGCACAATCCAGGAATCAGTGTTGTTTTGACATGGGAACAGTATTGAAATACAGTTAGACACTTTCAGAGATTTGAGATAATGGCCAGTAATCTATGGATTTTAGTGTCTTTTCTCACATCATTTAGACAGTATTCACATGGATGAACTTCATGCAGTACCCAAATGCAGATTCCCATTTGCAACACCTTGCCAAAACACTCATGTCCCTTTAGCTCCTGATATAGATTTATTGGCCATGGACCTCATAGTAAGACCCACTCAAACTGTGCTTTCCATCACCCACTCCGCGCTTTCGAAAGCAGGTTTCTCGTCCTCACTGTCATCGTACTGCAGCAGCATGCCGTTAACAGACAGACTGCGCTTAGTCCAGATGTTACTGATTCTGCGAGGGTGGCTGCCGCGACACTGTGCCGCCCCCACGTGACCCATGTCAAACGAGTGGCTCCTCCTGGGCTTACCCTCTTGGGGCATCCCTAACAGACGTCCCAGCATGGTGGTTGACTCGGCCCTACCGAGCAGGGGTTGTTTATCAGACGGGGGTACCATTGCTACCGTGATCATAGCATTAGAAGAGGTAGTGGGGCCAGAAGCCCGGTGGTGGTCCCTTGCTACCCCTCGCAGCTCCAGTGAGGTGAAGGCTCCTAAAAGGTGGTCCAGGTTTGGCCGTGCTTTGGTGCCATGCCTCCTGAACTTGCTGCTGGGCAAGGTGCTGCATTCACTGCTCTGCATGCTGTAGTGGTCGCCAGCCCCCCTTCCTATTTTGCTGTCTAATGAGTTAGAAGATGATGATGATGATGATGAAGATAGACTGCTCTGGAGGGATCCACACTTGAACTCTACCATTTCCTCACGCATGACCACCACTGTGGATTTGACCTGCGGCTGGGCACCGCTGAACCGGTTCAACCCCCCGTTGGTCTGCGAGTACGTGTTGCTCACAGCAGGTAGTTTATCGGTCTGGATGCCACTTGTCACCTTGTACCGCACCATGAGGATGATGATGAACACCAGCAGCGTGGCCACGATGATGCCACCGATGACTAGAATCATGGTGCCACCCAGGAAGCCACTGTGGAGAGAATGGCACTGCGGGTAGTCCTCCGTGGTTATGAACTGGACACAGCCGACTATGTTGGTGGCAGTTAGGGTGGTAGCGGTGTCATCCCAGATGGCCAAGACACACAAGTCATACTGCATTCCTGGGACAAGATTTGTGACTATGAAGGCTCTGTTAGTCATGGGAATCATCCTGACAAGACACAAAAAGATACAGCATGAAAAATACAGACCTCTTGCTGTGGAAGTGCAAGGGTAGAAGACTTTACATTTGAATGAAACACTGGCATGGTTCGTTATACAAGAGCATATCAAAGGAATTGCCAAAATGAAGCATGCTAAGTAGCTATTTATATGCACAGAGTAATTCAGAAAGATGACTTCATTGGTCTCAGTGTATCCCATTTGACATGCATGAGGCAAAAGCAATGAGATAAGTATTCAATGGCGACTTTTTGAACATTGTTTTGGCTGAATATAAATTATTTTATGTTCCATTTAACAAGCATTCATTTGTTTCAACTCAATCTGTTACAATGTCAGATGTTTAAATATTACTGAATACTAAGCCTCGCTGCTTTTGACTGAAATGAACGTCAATCTGCAGAAGATTAATTCTCTAAATTGTATTGCCAATCAATGCTATGCTGCATGAAACACTGAATTGTGTAGACAGCCAGTGATAGAGGCCTTTTTCCAACAAATTAATCCTACTACACAGACTGCAGTGACATACACATGTAACAAATCCCAAAAACAGTTATATTAACGTTTTTTTAGATAATTTAAGCAACTAATCTCATTAAAAAAGCTATCTGATTAATGCAGTTTGTGAACAACAGCGAAGTGTTATAAACCTTTCCAAAACAACTCATCAAATCAGATTGAAATAGCGTTTGGATATCAAATGTATGTAAGCCCTTTGCAGACACTGTATACACAGTCTGGAATTCCGTACATATTGGACTAATCTGATTTCCATTTTTGTTGAGTGCCAATGTTCTTTTTTTTCACAAGTCTTTTTATTTCATTATAGTGCCATTTAATTTATATTGTAACATCACACTACACTCCCCCCTCCCTCCCTTCACCCGCACATGCCCACACAGGCGAAACCGAAAAATGCTTATAAATATAACTTAAACAACAGAGCCATGAAAATAAACATAAAACGGAAAAGGAAAAAACAAAAAAAGTGCCAATGTTCAATGCCACTACAGGAAATGTGTGGAGGCTTGGTTGTTGGATGGGCCCGACTTTTGTCATGAAAACAACTTAAAGCTAGCATTTTCCTTTGAATTAGAAGTACCCATATTGTACAAGTCGTGGCAATGCACATACTCAAACTGCGATGAACCAGAACTATTAAGGAAGCTGGAATACTACTATGAACATCTGTTCTCTGAGATCAATGCTCTGTACGAATGAATATAAAACGCGTTTCAAAGTCAACCACTTTGTATTAAAGCTTTGTTTTGCATATTGAAAGTAAGAATATAAGAACATTTATTTTGGGGAATATACTCAGGAAGCATTTGGGCTGATCAAAAGTCCTACATTGTCATGGTAACAGCTGAAATACAGCAATAAGGCACATATCCAAACCTTAACCTTAAACGTGTTGTAATGCATGCAATGTAATGCATTGAATAACATCAGCAATTACAACTGATATCTATTGTGCACAGTGAGTGAACAGCAATTACAATGTATTTTGAGTTAAAAGTCTTTAAACAATGCGTTATAATATGAGTGTTTATTACTATAATTCTACAGTTATATAGAATAGCCTTGAGTTTTATAGAAAGTGTTACCAGAAATGGAAATACGTAACCAAAATTCAAGAATACATGTTGGAAAGGTTTAGCATAACATGTAACGTAAAGTGGTAATACTGGTATTGCAAACTTGGCAGAAAGGGCCTAAGCTAAAACAATGCCAAAGGGGCAGAATAAATAAGAACATTTACTGAAGTATTGTATTTAAGGAAATTTTTTAGGTACTTTTACCTTACCTGGTATTTCCATTTTGTGCTACCTCTTACTTTTACTTCACTACAATCGGGTAGAGATATTGTACTCTTTATTCCCCATCTTCTTTTGAAAAGATTAGTTATGAGTTAATTTTCAGGTTCAAATTATTAGTACGAAAATAAAATTGGTTAATGAATTATGATATACTATTATGAATTAAAATACCTTGGAGTATAAAAAGTAATAAAAGGTAATTCCACATTTACCAACAGCACAATTAAAGCTGTTTTGAAACAAGGGATCATTATCAGAATCCAGCTATATAATGTTTCAATTATTTACCTCTACTATGGGGTTATATTCCTTTCACTTCTACTTACTCCTTCCATCACTGAATAATGCTAAGATCAAAATGTCTTGTATAATATAAATTTCACTTGGTGGGTGGTATCAATGGAGCAGATATTGAGCTTGGATATATCTGAAGGAAGATGTTGGAAACCATTGCTATATAGCCTATTACTGAGACCACAAAACATGGAGTAGCAATCAATGGCTGTAACACACTGGGAGTAAACAATGGCCCTTATAGACTCTTCACCATATGTGTACCTGAAAATAGATTCCTTAGTTGTCTATAGATTATTAGCTTGCCGTTCCCTTCCAGTACATGTATCCTCATTTTTGATCCCTCTGAATCGCAGGGAGCCCAGACACCAGAGGGGCTGCAGTCCATTATTCATCCATAATTGTATTTTTACATAACTAGGAAGAGTTGGCTCACGTTTGAGAGAACTCATGCAATATTTCTCCTCCCCCACGTGGCTCTGATTGATTTTTAATCATGCCATTGCTTGAGTGCGGGCAGTACCCTGGGAAACTGTGTTAGCCAACAAGAGGAGAGCAGTAGGTGTGCGTGTGCAAGCAATGAAGTCATACTGATGTTAATTCAAAGACAGTTGTGGCCTCTCTGTGCACGTAATCTTTTCCTTCCAGCTCCTAATTTGTTTTCTGACATGCAAAAGTATTGCACAGCCGTTATTATACAAGACCAGATAAATCCATTGCTTTCGGCCATTTTTCTACTGCATACTGTGTGTGGTAATTATGAAGTAGAAAAAAAATGTTAAACAGCGAATCATGAGGGCAATTTGGAAGTATGAAATAATGATTCTTGACTAACAACACCATCAGGAATGCTATTAAAATAATCAATTTTTTACGGAAAATAATTCAGTAAATATACCACACATATCAGTGGTATGTTTGCACATTAGATAAAATCCATGAAAAAAACAAGATAAGTCATCCGACAATTCCATCACCGGGGGAACAAATATACTAAAAATTCATATTGTTCTCTTTTTTTCTGGCATGACAATCTGGCACTGCAAGCAAGGAAATCAGATAAACACCTTATTATTGAATTTGCATGGATAGTGAGTTGCATTGACAGTTTTTGAACAAAGTAATATCTTTCTTCAATATTGTGTACAGTTTTTATCTCATATTCCCAGCTAATAACCAGACTTCTCTTATTTTCGCAATGATCTTTCATTAAATGGCTCTAGCTGGGATGCGCAGTGCAGGAAAATGACGAAGGACTACGGCACAGACTAAGTGAATTCATGAAGTGGTGCTAAAGGATTTACCATCCATTGTTGGTTCGTAAGGAAGAATGAAGCTGACAGGAAATTGCAGTACATGTTGACCACAACAGGCTACCAATTTTCCCTCCATTCTGATGCCGTGAATACCATTTTTATTATTCTAAGGGTGGTCTTTGGCAAAGTCATGAAAATATCTTAGAGCTGTCAGACAAATTGAATCCTTTAGGTTCACAACAAGGATTCATCGAACATGTATCTATTTGTTTGTTCCTACAGCAAAGTGTGGCATCTTTTTTTCTTTCCCAAAATGATTTAATGTTTTATAACGAGGCTCTTTTCCATATTTCCAACTTGATTATAACAACCCGATATCACGGCAAGACGTGAACATGTGACGATTTACCATGCTGGGAGACGTGAAGATGTCACGATTTTGTCCCTTCAAACGTGACAGTTACACGGTATTGTTAACCCATGTTAACCAGTGAAGAAATAACCGGAAATGCCAAGCAAATGCTACCCCGACGGTCGGTTGTTATTGTCAATATTAATATAATAATGATTTATTTTTTAATAGTCACACTCGATTACGCCGATGTTCTTGTTGCCCCAGCTGGTCGACACCTCTTTTAGCAGAAACAAAGGCTACATTAATGTATTAAATAGATGTTAATCCATGTGTGTGGATGTGGAATTAACGGACGTGACGTTGTGCGATTGAGTTGCCAGGCAACAGCTTCGGTTCANGCTCATGACTTAATTTTCCTGTGCTTCAGTACTGCTGCTGGTTGCTGAAGAAAAGAGGGAGCAGATTGCCGGGCCGCCTTCCTATTTATACCGGAAGGAGGCCCGCGGGTGGGCGTGGACTACAAGTGTTTCAGTGCTGCGCGGGGGCGCAGGGGGATTACCCAATAGCGATAGCCTTAGAGGGCGAAGCCATATACGAAATAGAACCCACAAAACCCCAACAGAAAACAAGAACTTAAATACACACATAGCCAATCAAGACGACAAGACACAGCTGGGGAGGGGAGGGAAAACACAAAGATACAGGTGAACAGAATCAGGTAATCATAGGAGGGAAAACACCAAGCGGCAAACTCTGTGGAAGAGCCGACGCCAATACGGAAGTGGCACACACTGCAGTTCATATATTGGCCGATAGGGACTGACTGCAGAAAGGAGCAATTTCAATAGACCCCATGTTAAAATGCCAAACATGTTTCTACCCATGGATGCAATAAATATTATTATGAATATAGTTAGATTCCACCTTCATGATTATGGATCTGTGAGTGAATTGTTTTTTAACACGACCCTTTTATTTATATTAGGTCTTAAAGTTTTTGCATAAATTAGGGCGTGGTCACATTGAGTGACGGCTCTGTCAAGTGACTGCTGCTGTTAGCTTCTTGTCTCTCTGCTAGCTGCTCCGTGAAGCTAGCTACAGGGACTCTGCCTGGTCAGTTTCTCCAGGAAACACAACTTGACCGTGGTTGTTTGTTCTTCATGCTTATATATCGGACTATTGTGACTCGCTCTGCGGTTAAAACAGACAGAGCATGAATGCGGTTTTGCGGTAAGTGAAATTCGAGTACTTTATTTATGTG